CAAATGGGCTCATACAGAGCTCCAACCTTAGCTATATGAAATTCCATCTACCTAAGTTACGCAAAATGTACAGCGGTATTAGTATAGCTATAGGCATCAAGCTAAACAAATTCTACATTTAAATTAACAAGCCCAATGAAAAGTACAATCACTATAACCTTCCTATTCATACCTACAGGTACTTTACTTTTTAAATACTTTTTTATTAAAAACCTTACTTTATTTAATTAATTATTAAATAAAATATTTTTATTAATTATTTTTATTATTTTTATTAAAAATCTTAATATAATAATAATTTTTATTAAACTTATAAAAACTTAAATTAAAGTTTTTTTTTTATTATTATTAAATATATAATTTTAATAAATAATGAAAAAAATATAATTTTTTTTTAATAATATTAAAAAAATTATTATAATTATTTAAAAAAATAAATTTTTTATATAAAATAAAATTATAAAATAATTAATAAAAATTAATATAATATATAAAATTAAATAAATAATTTTTATTATAAATTATTATTTAATAATAATAAAATAATATTAATAATTATTTTTAAATTTTTTTTTAAAATATAATTTAAATTTTTTTAAAAATTTTAATATTTTAAATAATAAAAAATATATTATTTAATTTTTTAAAATAATATTAATTAATATATATTATAATATAATAATTAAATTATATAAAATTAAAATTCTCCTAGGTATAAAAAATAAATTACCTAAAAGAACTAAAATTAAAATAATTATTATTAAATTTTTAATTATTAGTTATTAATTAACAGCTTAGTAGATTTATATCTTTTCTTTTATAAATAATTTAAATTACCTTTTTTTACTTTATTTATTCTTAAAGCTTTAATATACTTTCTTTATTATATTAATTATATTCTTATTATATGTTTTTATTACAGTAGCTATTATTTTTACTATAGTTATAAATAGTTTTTTATTACCTTTAGCTATTTTAGCTATTTATATATTAGATTTTTAATTAACTATTAAGTTATTTTTAATTACTATAAGAATTCTTTATTTTTATATTATATTATTTTATTAAATTATTTAAAAAAAATATATAATTTATTTTTAAAAATTATTATTACTTTTTATTACTTAATAAATAATCTTTTTTATTTTAGTTAAGTTATTAAATTATAATTTAAAGTTTTTATATTATATTTAAACTTTATTATTTAAACCTCTTTATATATATATTTTAAGTTTAATCTTAAACTTTAATAAACAGTTATATTTTTAAATTTATTTTTAATAATATAGCCTAAATCTTTAAAATTTAGTTTAATTAGCTGTTATTAATTAAATTAAATTATAAATTAATTTTAGATTTTAAACTAAAAGCTGGGGTATAGCTTTTTATTAAACCAACTGTTATAGTATTAAACTTTTTATTTTAATATTAAATTTAACCTTTATAATAAAAATTTAAATATTTTTTTAAAAATAATTAAACTAAATTTTTTATTTATTTTTATTTAGTATTTTAAAATATTAATTTTATAATTTATTATTATTTTTATTAAATTATTAAAAAATATTATTAAATTTTTTATATTAAAAACTTTAAATAATTTTTAAACTTTTTTAATAATTTTAATATATAACTTTCAAATTTTTAAATAGTTTTAAAACTATTAATTATATTAATATTTACTTAAATTATTAATTTAAAAATTTTATTATTAATAAAAATTATTATTAATATTTATAAATTATAGTTTTATTATAAATAAGTTTTTTTATTATAATTATATTATCAAAACTATAAAAGTTTTATTTTTATTTTTAATTAATAATTACAGTTAATTAAATTAATAAAAAATAAAATTAAAAGTTTTAAATAATAAAATTATATATTATATAAAAGTTAAGTTTATATTAAATTAAATAATAATTTTATATATAAAAAAAACATTTAATTATATTAATAAAAGTTATTTTAATTAATTAAAATTACTATAGTAATTTTAAAAATAAAAAATAATTTATTTATTAATGTTAATATTATTTTTAATTATTAAATATAATATATTATTATTATTGCTATATAAATTTAATAAAGTTTAAAATTAATTAAAATATATATTTATTTTTAAAGTATTTTGGGGTTTTTAAAATTAATTAGAAAGTTATATTTTTTTAATTAATTACTAAAAGTAAAGTCAATAAGTAGTTTAGCTAAATTAATTAAATTACTATTTAACAAAGGGTTAATATAACATATAATAGTAGGAAATTAAGCTGTTTTTTAATAGTTCAGTAATATTAAACTATTGGGAAATACCTGATAATAGTTAAGAAATAGCTTACAACAGTTAATCAATAGCTACAACTCTTTTATAATTTCAGGCTATTTACCCTATAGTATCTGTTTTAGGAAATTAAATCGTTGAAAATGCTCAAACCGTTAAAGTTCTGCATTGGGCCAATCAGAATGCTTTATTTTGGCTTACAGGGGCTTTTAGTGGGTACAGCGCTATAGTATATAATGCTGCAACTTGCAGTATAGCCCTTGAGTGCTATAGCTTACAATGCAGCGCTATAAAGCCTAGCACAGTACTATAACGCCTGGTACAGCGCTATAGCTTACGATATAGCGTGTAATTGATTTGATTGATAAAAAGAAAAAACAGAAACAATAGTACCTCTTGCAATAGATAGATAGTCTAGCGGTCTAAATTAATAAAAGTACATTCAACCGACTCCTTGTTTAATTCCTATTTCTTGCGTACATTTTCCGTAATATTCTTCCAATTTCAGTAGGTAATTTACAATTGCGTTGGGTACATCAATCAAGCGTTCTATCCACTAAATCCACTATAAGCTACAGCGACTAGAATCCAGCTTTTTGATTGGCTTAGGTCTGCCGATCTATACCCAATTCAGTAATAGAATCGTTGAGATTGCTGAAACCGTTGAAGGTCCTAAACGGTTTAGTCTGAGCTAATGCATAGTTCTCAGGCAATGGTTACAGTGAGTCAAACCACTAAAAGAGCCCACTAATCCCCTGTACTGTACGTTTTGCATCCCACTGTCAGACAGCACACGTCAGCAAGATTCGCTTGCCTAGACAGAAACCACCCCGTAAGCAGACGATACAACGTCAAGGCTGGGGATCTTGGGGAATCATCCTTCCGTCCTCTGCAGCAAAGCATAAGACGGCGTCGGCCGTGGTAGCACTGCGGTTGTGCTCTTTGAGCAAGGGTGAGGCGGTGGAGTCGAATGTATTTAAAAGTCGTAAAACGGACGACGAATTGCGCAATTTCACTAACTCACACCCATTCGTTGCTTTTCGTTGCCTTTCGTTGCCTTTCATTGAAGAATGTCCCCGAAACCCTTCCGGCTCCGCGGGGCCTGCGATTCCTGTCACCTCGCAAAGGCTAGTAATTAGCAGCCAATCCCTGGACGCAACCTACAACCGAGTTGCGTTCATGCCGACTAACACCTGCCAGGTCAAATGTAGTAGTGACAAGCCTTCGTGCCAGAGATGTCTTGCCAACAACTTCGAGTGCGTCTACAGCATCTCCATGACGGGCAAAGTCCAGGGTGCCAACCGCCACAAACGAGCTCGCTACGAAAACAGCGTCGTCCCCAACAGCCCACGCAACCCGACGCTCTTGGATACCATAAACCTGTCATCGGGCGATGAGGCAACGATTGTGGCAGATCCCGCCGCAGCCCAGGTTGCCTATGTGCTGCCATCCCAAACCGCCACGCAAGATGCCGAGGACATCTGCCACTCGGCCATGCTACAGCTCGTTTCGCCTGCGTCCGAGCCGGCTCTGCGATGGCCTGTACAAGATTCCCTCCCCATCAACATCCTCTTCGATATCGAAGATAGCTTTTGTCGACCTTCTGCCGACGAACAGCCACACAGCCAGCAACGCCCTGAGTGCCACGAGGGCCAGGGCCAACTTACGGATGCTTCTTCGATGAATACCGGGCTAGAAACATCACGACACGGCTCAGAGGCCTGCACAACGAGACATGTGAGCCGGGAGCCCAGCAACTCAGGCCCGCCGGAAGCCCAGCCGAGCTTGCGCTCAGGCTTGGGTTCAACCTCGAGCGCTCGAGACAGGACGCCGCTGAACTGCATTCCCTTGCTAGAGCAGCTGTGGCAGCGCGAAGGATGTGCGCATCTACAGCCAGACTCTGTCATAGCTACTAACAAGAAAGCCGTCTCCGCACTGTCCAAGCTGGTTCCAGGTCTTGATAGCTGCGACAAAGGTGAAGCCGACCTTATGCTCTACACCCTCGTCATGCAGGCTATCGTCAACTCTTACAGACAGGTCTGTGACTCGTGGTTGCAAGCAGGGTCCGACGTTTCCGGGCCACCCAACAAGGGCCCTTTGACGCCGTGTGAGATGGACGCGCCCAGGTTCAGGTTTGGAACATTTGAAATTGATGCAGAATCGCAGAGGAAACTGTTTACACAGGTCGTGCTGGGAGAGATTAACAAGGCCATGTTGCTCTGGACCAAGTTATGGGCCGTTGTGTCGACCCAGCAACTCAATGGCCGAGGGGGCATGGGACTCTGCGAAAACATCCTTCTCGAAGCAGGGATCACACTTCAAAGAAAAATAACAGAGATAAGCACCTCTGTCGCAGTTTATAGCACTGAACCACAATAACTACTAGATTTATGTTATACTTGTTAATCTTTTTTGTTTTACATTCCTAGTGTAGAAGATCATCAGTTAGAGGAATTGGGTTAGCGTTATATTACGATCTGATCCCCAGTGAGCTCTGCAGACAGCGAGTGACCTTGTTAATTGCTGCTGATGCGATCAATGCCCAATCCTTTGCCCTGTGGAATAACAGTTAGAAGCATGCCGAACAAGTTGGAATGGTGTCATATGGGGATTTAGTGAAGGTTGCCAGGGACACCATCGCGGCTGCTTCTACCAGACCCGTATCTTCGCTCGAATGTCGGTGTTGGTGTGATGTAGGCACAGCTGCCGCTGAGTGTCCCGGAAGGTGGCAGAGAGATTTTTTCCAGGCCGAATTCCTTGTCTGTGGTGACAACCTCCGGCCGAGAAGGTAGGAGCTTTTGCCGAATAGCATCAAACTAATCTCATTGACACATAAGTCGTCTTCAGTCTCTGTCTGAGAATGTAACGGGCGAAGTTCGCGAGTGACTCCCGGTCTGTGAAATTAGGACTTGGAAGAGGTATATCATGAAGAGGCTCGTCTTCTATGTATTGTCAGGTCTGAGAACATTGGCGAAGAGACACAACATCTCAACATATCAGGAGAGGTCCAAATGACGCCTTCAACACGGCTCGTCGTGCCCGTTTGATGCAATGACATAGAAGGTTTGATTTTAGGGTGTGGACCCAGCGTTGGGTGGCTGTCAGCCCCGTCGAGCCTAACGAAAACGCTGACGATCATTATAATATATATCCCGCTTCCGGAACTAGCTCGCGCTGTCCGTGTGGTCTGGTGTGATATCAGCACCCCTTGAGCCCTTAGACCAAACCAAAGCGACAGGGATTGCTCAAGTTCCCGCTGGGCAGCATTCGTCGGCGATAAACGTTATAAGCTAATAGATCGAGAGAAGGCAGGTAGTTTTTGCCCTAACTCATAAGAGCTAATTAGTAACTATTGCTGACTAAGAAGAGACTTTATACCAGTAAAATAGGTAGAGATTAACTTTTATACTAATATAACCTTAGTTATAAAGCTAAACTATAACTGTTAGAAATATTTTCATTACCTTTAAATTAATTTAAACTGCAATTTAGCTTCGTTTAACTTTTCCATAAAGCTTTAAATAAATAATACCTTATTATATATATATTTCTTTTTATTTTTTAAATTACTATAAGTTACTATAACTTTAATTATTTAGAAATATTATAAAGTAGTTTATAATAGTTATTTATAATGTTATATTAATAGTTAATTAATTAAATATTATTATTTTTTAATTTTTTATTTAAGGTATAGTATAGTAAGTAGTTAAATTTAACTAAAGTAATATACTTATAGTAAATTTTAAATAATATTTTTATTTAATTTAATTTATTATATTTAGAATATATTTAAAAATTTAAAAGTTTTAAAAATAAATATTATAATTATAGGAAATTATAGTAAGTATTTAAAAAAGTAAAAAATTTATTAAAAATAATCTATAATATTAAAATTAAGAAATTAATAATAAATAAAATAAATAAAGCTATTATTATTAAATAATATTAGTTTTATAAATATAAAGTTATTTTTAATAGTTTTTCTATTAGCTAAAGTATAAAAGCTAAGATATAAAAGGATTTTTTTTTTTTTTAATTTTTCTGCTGGTTAGTATATCTGGGAAATAATTAATACTTAAGGTTAAGTGTAGGTAAAGGCAAAGGTAAAGGTAAGGTTAAGGGAGATTTTAAAAGAAACTGTTGTCTTAGAGCTATTAAATAAAAGAGATAATTTATTTATTATTTTAAATGTTATAGGTAAAGAAGTTAATAATAAAGAAAAATAAAAGGAGGAGGAGGGAAAAAAAGATATTTAGCTGCAGCTATTAATAATACCTTTAATACTGCTGCTGTTATTATTGTAAAGATTATTAAAAACGCTAGGTAGTATAGTTAGTAGTATTATAAGAAGGGTTAAGTTATTAAGAAGGCTAAGGAAAGAGGAGGAAGTTAGGTTATTATAAGGATTTTTAGAATAGGCTATAGCTGTTTTATTAAACTGTTTTATATAGTAGGTTTATTAGTATATTATTTAGTTATAAATTAAAAATATAGAAAATTTTAAAAAGATATTATAATTTTATTTTATATTTAAATAATAATAAAGTATTATTTTTATAAATAAATTAATTAAATTAATTTAGTAAAATCTATTAAATATTTTAATATAAAATTTATTTTTATTAGTAAAAAAATAAAAAAAGTAAGTTAATATTAAATTTAAAGATAATTTAATATTATAAAAAACTTTAAAAAAAAACTTTAATATAAAATTATTATTTCCTTAAGATAATTTACTTTAAAGTAATATAAATTGTTTTTTTTTAAATTATATTAACTTTTTAAATAAATAAAATAAATAATAAGTTTATTAATTTATTTTATAAGTTAAATAAACTTAATTAACTATATATATAAATATATATTTATATTATTTATTTAAATAGTTAAATACTTAATTATTATTAAAGTAATTAAATGAAATTTAAATATTATTTTATTAAGTATATAATAAAATT